ATGGGCTACATATGAACAGGGGTTCTAGGTTATCTCTGTGCATGGTACTTGGTTGGAGTATATCTCCGAAAAGACCCCTTGGCCCAGATTTTTTTGGTTCTGTTGCTCTCCTTGTGGAGCTCTTGTTCTCTACAGGTCTTACTACCTCCCCCTTCTTTCATAAGATTCCCTGAACTCTGCCCAAAGTTAAGGTTATAAGTCTCAGCTCTGCTTTGATACAGTACTGGGTAGAGTCTTTCAGAGGCCCTCTTTGGTAGGCTCCTATCCTTTTTCCTGTTTTCTCCTTCTTCCAATGCCCGTCCTGTTTGTCTTTCTGAGTGAGGATTTATCATCTTACCCAGGGTCCTTCTTCTTGCTTAGCTTCTTTAGGTGTGCAGATTTTATTATGTTTATACTATATTATATATCTAGTATGAATGGTACATTTTTGACTCAGTAAGGAATCTGCTGGTAACACAAAGAGGAGAAAATAAGACAGTAGCAGCAGCAGCAATTAAGAGAGCAACTGAAGACTTCCAGAGAATGGTGAAGACAGAAAAAATAGAGAAGAGAGATGCCAAAGAAAAGCCAAAGATGAGAACCTGAAGGCCCTGTTCAGTAGAAGAGTGCCAGAGAGTTACCAATCTTAAGGGTTAAGGGCTTTTGATACCCTGAACCCAAAAGGTTTGTATATGCCACTATCAAAGCCTGAGGATATCAAGTCTCTGGACCTGAAAATTATAACAGTTGCCACTATAGAGCTGTGGGTCCCAGTATGCAAGACCTTTTAAAACTCAGCAGTGCTGTCTGATTCTGCTGTCTGCTGTCACCACCATCTGGTGCTGCTGTTACCCAAGGGTCACAATAGCTGTCATGTGATAGAGGCACTGGTGGCAAAAGCCAAGAGCAATAAGCCTCCAACTTGAATGGCTAGAACCATACATGTGTAGTTTCTAAAGTCCAGACCAATGTGTCCTACCTCTCAGGGTGTAGATCTCTAAAACTGGGTCTTCAGTGTCAGCCCCTCAGCCTTGGGTGCTCAAGGGCCCAGAACTACCAGAAGGAAAATGTCCTCCTTGCCTAACCACAATTCTTATCCTGCTAGAGCAAAGGACCTCAAGCCAACAGATTAGTAACACATTGACATTTGGATGATTGGATAACAGCATAGACATGACTCTTCTGCTCATTTCCACTCACTGGCCCAGATATGTACAATAGTATATGATATTACCAAATTTGGGATTGCAAGTTGCTAAGTAGCAGGAATGCTTAATTCTACATTGAAAAATGACTAGAAATCATGTAGTATATCCTCAGCTCTTGCTCTCAGCAGAAAGCTTGCCCAACTAATGCAGAATTGGCAGAATTTCCAATAGGGTGGGACTTTGAAAATTAAATGACTCAAAAGGAAGCATACAAACCAATATTTTATGACTTACCCAGCCGTGCTGTAGGGAATGGATGGCAAAATAAGAAATAATAAAAGCAAAACTGAATAGAGAATTTTTTGTCAGATGAACTTTGGAGGAATACCTTGACTTTTTCCATACCCTTTTGCGTATGGTTTCAAATCTCTTTTAGGTGTTTGAGTTGGGAATAGTAGTAGGCAATAATACATATGTTGGCAGTACTCCTCAGTCTAAGCTAGGAGCCAGGAAAAGGGAAGGAATTTCTTTTGTTTTCTATTCCCAATGTGTTTTAAATTTCACTTTGATTTTTCACATTCCAAAATACTCATCTCACTGCTTTTCCCCATTGGCATTGAAAATGCAGCTCTACATTGTAATTTAATGGGTTAAATATAAACAAAAGAATAATGAACAGAAAGGGAGCCTTTGAAAATATCATGAGCAACCTGCCCTCCAGCAAGCCCTCTTGGGCAGTTTAGCCTATGGCACGCTTGAGGTATTGAACTAAAGGGAGGTTATCTCATTCTATCTTTAACCATATGTCATGAATACATTTGCTTTTAAGTGAATTTATAAAATATTAATGCAATCATACTAAGCTGCAGAGTGGTGAGTGCATCTCTCAGGATTTATATTATTTTATGTATTTGTTTGCCTCCATTTATTAGTAGACAGTACATGAAGACAGGCATTTCCTTCTTGGGGGAAGCAGCAGAACTTGTTTAATGAAGTGATGTTTCTGTAATCTGTGGTAAGGTAGAGTTGTGAGTGACAGAGTTATATGAATAACAATGAGGAGGCAGTCAGAACAATAAAAGGAAGACAAACATTTCCATAGCAGGGGGAAATATATGGAGTTGTTTAGGTAGCATACAATCTAATCTGATCTTTTTCTAAAGAAAATTAACAGTTTGTAAATGAGTAAAATAATGTTAACAATTTCTCCAATATCTTCTGCACAAGGAATCAAATTTTCAAACACACAAACTGCATTCTGAATCAGAGTGCTAGAATTCTATTGCATAGCAAGACAGATGCACAGAGATCTTAAGTTCTCCAAGATGAAAAGGGAAACAAGACACCCTCCCTAGCCGCTGTGTAGAGCCTAATCTAGAGAGGGCTTGTCACAAATGTTTGTGGACTCTAATAGTGAATGTATGAATTATTGCATTTTTCAATGTGTGTTTCAAAACTGGCATGGAAGAAAGAATACTTATCTATGAGAACTGTCATGCCAGAGGTCTTCATACCTGCTTTGGTTTTCTATTGTTTAAGCTGAATTTCATTATATGCCCTAATGTTTACTAAAGAGGAAATGGAAGCATAAAGATATAAAAAATTTTCTTCAAGGTCATATACTATTGAGTACAAAAGAGTAAAGTTATAAGAGCCTCATGAAAGAGAGGATGTGTGTAGGTGTACATGCATGTTAGATGAGGTTTAAAAGTAAGTGTTTTTATAAAATAAAATAGCTCTTGAGAGAAACTTTTTGCTCTTCTTAAACCTTTCTAGGGCATTAGCACCTCAGGGAAAGAGACATTAGAAGATGAAGGTAGCCTAGCCTGCATGGCTTCTCTCTGCAGAAGGGGATGTCGAGTATTCCCTTGCCCATCCACCCAGACACAGTGTTCCTTCAATACTTCGCATGTTGGAGCTAAAGTCCTGCTCCTGTTGGGACCACAACCTATCTGTTGTTTACTTCTGCCTCGTCCCACATCTTAGAACCAACTAAGAACCTCGGAGCCACTTTATGGACATCCAGACAGGTGTTATTCCGCTGAACTCTGTGGCTAGTATGATTCATCTGCCCCTTCTTCACCACAAAAACCTTTTTCGATGCTTTTTCTTTGTTTGCAGTACACTGTATGTGTATCTATAGTGAAATAAATATGGGAAATGGGAAGTCAAATTTGGGGAAGTCCCTTCTCTCAAAGAAACTGAACTTTTTTTTCTTTTTTTACAGAAACAATTCAGTGAAATTAGGACTGCTCTTAGATCCAGTCAAAGGAGGCCCTTGCTCTGAGCCTGTACTTCATTTAAGATGCTCCAGGCTATGGAAGAATTACCTTGAGATTTTTCTAAGTATCTCTTTCTAGTCCTGAACACTGGCCAAGACTTCAGTGCCATAAGATCAAGTACCAACTCCAGATCAGGATTTGTCTTTCTAACCACCAAAAACACCTTTCTTGAAATTTGTTTAAATTTTTCTTCCATGTCAGGAACTGATCAGAACTCGCAGTGTGACCTGACAATCTCACTCTAGGCCTCTATGGGCTCCAGTTTCTATTTACCTCATTTGGAGTACTCTCTATTCCTCTATCCCATAGTGAAATCAACTAGATACCTCTATAAGCTTTAGAACATATGCCTATGAATCCTCCTAGAGTCTTGTTTCCAGGAGAATCGTCTGTCAAGTAAATCACTGCAGTGGCAGTTGTATGTTTTTACAATGTATTGAATGAGATTTTGCCATCAGAATGCTGTTGATGCTGATTAGGGATGAGTCAATTTGTATACATAGATAAGCCCCACAAACACTGTTTGGGTATCCTCACACTTCCCACAGTCACATCTCTGTGTGAAACAAAAAGTAGTGCAAATAAAATTCAGTGGTAAAAAGTTTGAACAGATTTTAGAGACAGAGTTAAGAATGCAGCAGAACTGGCTTCGAAGTCCTTCTCTCTGCAGCCAGTCCTGAAGACACCTGATAAACCAGTATCAGATGGAAGGGGAGGAGGCTCTCCCCTGTCAGTGGACTTAGAAAAGGGCAGGGAGGAGATGAGGGTGGGATTAGGAGGGAAAGAGGGAGTGGGATACAGCAGGGATACAAAGTTAACAAACTGTAACTAATATTAAAAAAAAATAAAAATTAAAAAAAAACCATACAATCAAAAAAAAAAAAAAAAAGAAGAATGTAGCAGAATAATCTAAGAAGAATTCTTCGACTGTATGAGACTTAAGCCTTGAAGCACAGGGAGAATTCAGAGCACCACAGGTGATTCTATCCCAGGATAACAACACTTACAAAGACACACAGAGTAGTTGCTGGTTGAGCCAGTTTCTGTTGTGTACTATGCTAAGCACATTTCCTTCTTCATCCTGTTCACTCTTCATAACTCCCTATACGGCAGGAGATATAAACCATATTTTACAGCTGAGAAAATGGAAGTTCATAATGCTAAGCAAATGATAGAAGAAGATCCTAAGTCTCCTTGATCACCAAAAGCATATACTGTTATCATCACACTGTAAAAGGAAAGTAAAGTTACAAATGACAGCAAGAAGTCTTGTCAAAGTGGAGCCGAGGATGTGTACTGGAAGCTGATGGAGATGTGATCCTTTGACAAGGCACAACAATGTTAGAAAAGATGCTGAATATAAAACAGACATGAAAAGACTACTTAAGTAGACTGAGATCAAACAAAATGAAAGAAATGTGCACAGCTCTATGATGATTAAGATGGAGAATGTTAACCATGAAGAGGCATTTGCTTGGCTTGTTTTTGGCTCTGTCTTAGAAAGATCTTTTGATTTGATGTTAATAATGTAACATTTGGCCTCCATTTGACCTTGTCTGCTATCATTTATTGTTTTTATCTACTTTTTCAGACTTTGATCCTGCCCTTGGAATGATGACTGGAATACCGCCGATAACTCCAATGATGCCTGGTTTGGGAATAGTACCTCCACCAATTCCTCCAGATATGCCTGTAGTAAAAGAGATCATACACTGCAAAAGCTGCACCCTCTTCCCTCCCAGCCCAAGTAATAGCCTAGTTCTTTGCCTATTTAAGCCACAGTGTCTCAGAGTTTCTTCTCTATCAAAAGACTATGTAAGGGCTTCATGGAAGCTTCACTAGAAAAGAGAAATGGAAAATTGTTCTCTTGCTAAGCAAGGCTGCATTTTATGTACAGAACAGTAGATATTTGTTTGCTGGTTACAGTACATGTGTTTTAATATGCCTAATGCCATCTGATGGGGAGTTCAAGTGTGTTAGTAGAGAAGGAGGCACGCAACACAAATTGCTCAACACTATCATTTATAGTCTTTATTTTTATAAATGATCCACATACTAGCAATGGTAGAGACTAAGTATGATTTGAGCCCATTTGAAGCCCATACCCATGAGAAAATACATCTAGTGCTAATAAGCCTCCATTGCTACCAGCCAGTCACACCCATATAGGAATGATCTAGAGAATCCAGCTTGCTAGTATAGTCTTCCTTTAGCACATCTATAGTATTAAGATGGCTATTTCAGGTAAAATTTAGTAGCATCAATCCACTTCAACTTTTTTTCAGATCCATTTTTTTTAATGATTAGAGGCTATTTTTACATATGACCCAAGCCTCCTTAATGTTTTTCCTAGTATCCTGGTGGTACTGTACAGCATATCAAGGAAGCTGCTTTTGCAGTACTAAGATTAGAGTTGTTAGTTAAAAACACCCATCGGGGTATTTAGATCATAGATCAAATAAACTAGCCTCATCAAGATAAATAGGAATCTTTCATGTGTGTCTTTGGACAAATATTTCATTTTCTACCATAAACAGGAATCAGTTAATCATGAATCAGATTCTGCCGGGACCCCAGAGTCTATGTACTATAACCTGCTCATAAATAAGAGGGTTTCAGAATCTTTCAGAGTTGGTTTGACAGTCCTCTTGTCCGGTTTTGTAAGTGAAAAATGAGCTTAATTTTTTTTTTGATGTTTTAACTGGGCTGTTAACAAAGTATGTCTTTTCACACCAATAAGAAACCTAGGAGGATAGCATCTAAGAGGACTGTATTTTAAAAGAGTATTTTGTTCCAAAGGGAATTAGAGAATAAAGTATAAAGGTTTTTTTTCCTTTTCCTTTTTTATTTAATTATTTTAATTTTTATTAATTACAGTTTATTCACTTTGTACCTCCCACCTCCCCTACCAATCCCACCCTCCCTCTTTCCCACCCGTGTCCTTCTCCCAGTCCACTGAGAAGGGAGGTCCTCCTCCCCTTCCTCTGATCCAAGTCTATCAGGGCTATCAGGAGTGGCTGCATTGTCTTCTTCTGTGGCTTGGTAAGGCTGCTCCCCCCTCAGAGGGAGGTGATCAGAGAGCAGTCCAATCAATTCCTGTCAAAGACAGTCCCTGTCTCCATTACTTTGGAGGCCACTTGGATACTGAACTGCCATGGGCTACCTCTGTGCGAGGGTTCCAGGCAATCTCCATGACTGGACCTTGGCTGGAGTATCAGTGTCAGAAAAGACCCTTGTGCCCAGACTTTTTGGATGTGTTGCTCTCTTTGTGGAGCTCCTATCCTTTCCAGGTCTTACTATCTCCCATTTCTTTGTTAAGATTCCCTGCACTCTGCCCAAAGTTTGGCTATGAGTCTCAGCATCTGCCTCGATACCCGGCAGGGTAGAGCCTTTCAGAGGCCCTTTGTGGTAGGTTCCTTTTCTGTTCCCTGTTTTTTCCCTCCTCTGATGTCCATCCTCTTTGCCTTTCTGAATGGGGATTGAGCATCTTAGCCAGAGTCCTCTTTCCTGATTAGCTTCCTTAGATGTACAGATTTGAGTATGTTTATCCTACATTATATGTCTAATATCCACTTATGAGTGAGTATATACCCTGTGTGTCTTTCTCCTTCTGGTATACCTCACTCAGGATGATCTTTTCCAGTTCCCACCATTTACCTGCAAATTTCATGATTTCCTTGTTTTTTATTACTGAGTAATATTCAATTGTATAAATGTACCACAATCTCTGTATCCATTACTCTTAGTTCCACTATCCTAACACATTCCATATCTCCTTTCCCCCCCCCTTTTCCCACATTTTTTTATTCAGATTACAGAAAAGTATATGTCCCCAGTAGTTCCTTTATCATGTAAAAACAACCTTTGAATATAGGTATTACTGGTGTTAAAACTGAAAAGGCAGAGTCCTGCTGATTTAATCATGCATGTATTGTGTGAGCAGCCTTCACAGACTGTAACTATTTCAGTCAAGTCTAAACTAATAGGATGGCTCATAACCTGTAATGTCCAAGGTTGGTGCAATCAATATTCAACTTAAGGGTCCAATATCTAGGTCTCCAAAGTATAGCACAAATGCCCTGTTTTTTCTTTTGTTTTAACACAAAGACCACATTATTAAGCAGTCTTTAATGCATGTCAAAACATGTGTTAAAGAGGTGGTAATTTCATGTGCTTTAGTAAAAGAAACAAGTATATTTCTCAAATACATTTTCGTCTTTTTCTACCTATAGCCATGATTTCTTGGTACTAAGTTAGAAGGGCAACAGAGTAAGAAGGCAGCATTATATCCAAGAGCCCAATCACTTAGTTTTTCATCTTTGTACTAAAGAAGTCTGACAGGGCAATTAATGCAATAAATGAGGGTCTTCTGGGAATGAATCTGCTTTAGAATTTAATTCAAAAATAACGCCCCTGTGAAGGTTAAATCAAACTGGTGTTTTATTTGCTTTTCAAAAATGGACTTTGTTTAAAGGGAAGTGCTCAGATTAATTGTGTATAAAATTCCCTAGCTAGGCTCTTAATTCTTTGCTGAAAGTGTGGCAATTGTGCTGTTTTTATCAACAGTGGGGACTTGTTTTTCTGAAGGTAAGACAGGAAAGCAGGCTGTTGATGTGACTTGAGTCCCTTTTTCACCTCTGAGGCCAACCAAACCTAATTTATTATAAGGCTTTGATTAAAAGCCCCACTACTTATTCCTAGCTGTCTCTGGTATATCCTCTTATATTCAATGGCCTCTGAATTCAAAGTCTCTTAGCACTGAGACCATATTATTCAGAGATATCACAGTATCTTTAGTCAACATTCAGACTGCTTCTAACTCCTGTTGCTTTATTACAAAATACATTAACTATTATTTCCTTCCTTTGTCCCATCAGACTATCTTTCTAAATGTTTGCCACATAAATAGTATAGGATACTATGTATAATGTATCCTGGAGTTCTCAATTCATAATCTGACTCAGTGGTTCTCAACTTTCCTAATGCTGCAACCCTTTAATACAGTTCATTATGTTATGGGAACCCCCAACCAAAAAATTATTTTCAGCAACTTCATAATTGTAATTTTGCTAGTGTTGTGAGTCATAATATAAATCTATATTTTCTAGTGGTCTTAGGTGACCCCTGTGACAAGGTCATTTGACCCCCAAAGTAGTCGAGACCCACAGGTTCAGAACCACTGGTCTAACTCCTGCCCTCAGAAGCCTTTTCCTACTGTGCTTCATGACTGTTTTCTTTTTTTAAATTTTTAATATTTTTCTTCACAATTTATTCATTGTATATTCCAATTGAAGCTTTCCCTTCAACTACCCCCAGTCCCACTGTCCATCCCTCTTCTCCCTATCCCTTTCCCATAGTCCATTGAAAGGGGGAGTTTTCCACTATTGCCATCTGTCCATAGCTTAAGTCTCATGAGGACTGCCTGGATCCTTTTCCTCCCTGGCCTGGCAAGACTACATCAACAGAGACTAATGATCAAAGAGCAGTCAACTGAGTTCATAATAGAGACAGCCCCTGCTCCCCTCACTCAGAGATCCACGTGGAGACTGAGCTTCCAATCTGCTGCATCTCAGCAAGGGGACTAAGACCTATCCATGCATCATGCTCCATTGGTGCATCAGTCTTTTCAGGACCCCCTGTGTTCAGATCTTTTAGTCGTGTTGGTCTCCTTGTGGGACTTCTGTGCCCTCCATGTCGATCTATCCCACTCCTGTCTTCCTCCATAAGACTCCTCTACTCAGCCCAAAGTTTGATCCTGAGTTTCAGCATCTGCCTCTATCTCCTTTTGGGTGAATCCTTTCAGATGACCCTCTATAGAAGGCTCCCATCTTGTTTCCTCTCTTCCACTGCTTCTGGTGTCTATCCTGTTTGCCATTCTAAGTGATATTTAAGCATCCTTTCTAGGGTCCTCCTTAGTGTTTAGCTTCTTTAGGTCTGTAGATGACTATCCTATATATTATACAGCTAATATCTGCTTATAAGTGAGTGTATACTATACCTGTCTTTCTGTTTCTGGGTTACTTCACTCAAGATGCTCTCTTCTAGCTCCATCCATTTGCCTGCAAATTTCATGATTTCCTTGTTTTTAATTGCTGAGTAGTATTCCACTGGGTAAATTTACCACACTTTCTGTATCCACTCCTCCATTGAGGGACATCTAGGTTGTTTGCAGATACTGGCTATTACAAATAAAGCTGCTATTAATATAGTTGAACAAATGTCCTTATTGAATGGTGGGGCGTCTTTTGGCTATTTGTCCAGGAGTGGTATAGCTGTATCTTGAGGTATTGCTATTCCCAACTTTCTAAGAAAGCTCCAAATTGATTTTCAAAGTGGTTGTACATGTTTACATTCCCACATCCTCTCCAGCATATGTTGTCTCTTGAGTTTTTGATCTTAGACATTCTGATAGGTCTAAGATGGAATCTTAGAGTTGTTTTTTTTTTATTTTATTTTTCTTTTTAGTTACATTTTGTTAACTCTGTGTCCCAGCTGTATCCCGCTCCCTCATTCCCTCCCCAACCCCGCACTTCCTCCCTGGTCTCCTCCCTGCCCCTTTCCAAGTCCCCTGATAGGGGAGGACCTCCTCCCCTTTCATCTGACCCTGTTTTATCAGGTATCTTCAGGGCTGGCTGCAAAGTCCTCCTCTGTGGCCTAACAGACTGCTCCTCCCCTGGGGGGGGGGTGTCAAACAGCCTGCCCTTGAGATCCTGTTAGAAATAGTCCGTGTTCCCCTTACTTTGGAAA